ACTGTCAGAAAATTCATCATTTTCCCAAAATTTCCCCATTCTCAAATTTCCATATCCAGGAAATTTTGGGAAAATGATGATTTTCTGACAGTAATCTTGCTCAGGAAATCTTGATAGTATTCAACATCTCCTCAGTGTTTGTTCAACAGGAAATCTTAGCTAAATCTAGAGTTTCTCCAATGTTTGTGTGCTCAGGAAATTCTAACATAATTCAGCATTCCTCAGGGTAATGTCAGTGAGGAAATCTTGAACAAATCCAAAATTTCTGTGCTGTTTATATTTCAGGAAATTCTAAAGTGATTTGATGTTTCCCCATGATAATATCAGCCAGGAAATCTTGAACAAATCCATTATTTTCTGTTCATTTGTGTTTTTAGAAAGCTAGGTAAATGCATATAATTTTACCAACATTTCTGACCTCAGAAAATCTTGTGAAAACTCTGAATGCATGCACATTTTCAATTTTCAGGAAATCTTAACACAATTCAATTTTTCATGCTTCAGGAAATCTTCAAATTAATTAACATTTCATGTCAATTTTTGCCCCAAGAAATGCTAATACTATTTGCCAGAGGCATAAGATTTCCTGGGACTTTTAGATTCAGGATATTTTATGATGTCTCCAGTGTAGAGAACTTAAGCAAATATGCCACACACATGTCCTAAATGTTTGTCGTAAGCCACATCTTGATAAGGCAAATTAGTAAGTCAAACCTTGGGCAACAAACTCCATGGTGATTGTGCTAATAAAACGCAAACAAGTTTGGATCTGAGGTATCTTCCATTGCAGCCTAAATCCACCGGTTTGAGGAAAGACCTTAACGGCCTCATTGGTACCATCTATAGTATCTAGGGTGTACGTCGGCGAGACTGAAAAAGACTGAAAACCTGCTGCACTTCTCGCTGAATGGAAAAAGCGTTGGTATGACTTGCTTGCACAGGCCCAGTATACTTGAGTCCGAACACTTTCTGTAAGTGAAGCTTGAAATAGGCAGTCTAATAGGCGATATGTTGAGCTTACCTTGATAGGATCATCGGAAAGTGCATTCATGATTACCCAGCATAGGAGGTAGCGTTCACTCCAAGAGAGATGCAAAATGTCCGTCCTGCGAGAGGAGTCTACATCCTCCTCTCCCGCCATCCACAGTCTTTATACTGTCCTTCTCTATTAATTTAAAAAAAATAATTAATATGCCCATCATCAAGGCCGCCAAGTTAGATTTTTTTTCAAACGGATCACTGTGGAGCGGCATTGAGTGAGTGTTTGTGGCGATGTGCCAAGGACACCACAGGTTCTACAGTCTGTCACTCAATTCCGGTGTATGTAAAGCCCAGTTCTGGTAACCTTTATAGAGGAAGTATAACTACTTAGAAAAATATGAAACATAGTTAGAAAATACATAAGATACTCTAGTTATAATTCTTACTAGCTGCCATACCATTAGTCCAAGATTTGATATTTTTTCGTAGAATATTCGGCAGACCGGCGCTTAACAAACCAAATATGGTGTGTGACGTGATATGTCACATGAAGAAATATTATTCTGGGGGATCTATGGACTATCTAAAAGCTGTTTATGGCCTGGAAACTAACATATAGCCTGAAAGAAAGCTTATAAAGACCAAAGAATCATAGTTTTATGCATAAAAAAATTGGGAATTCTGAGAAAAGTTGGTGGACGGGCGCCTATTTACAAGCATTTGTAACAAACAATGAGCCATTTTGATCGTTTTATGATAGATCCGAGAGGTTTTGGTTTGAAATTTCACGTAGCACTCTGCACAGAGACCCTGAAAAATTGTGACAGGTACTGTATTAGTATTACCTCATGAATAGATATAACTTTATTGAAAAATCCATTTGGTCAAGTTGATTTAACACATTCCTCATCTCTTTAGCTTTCTACGGGATTTGATAAAGTAATGATAAGTGCCATTTAAGGCTATGTGATTTCTAAGGAAAACTCAATTTTCCTCTTTTGGTACAGCTCTAATGGAGTAGAATAAATAATAATAATACTTTTATTTTTGGTAGAGCTTTTTTATTTTCCCTTGAGTAGGGAATTCTGTGCTGCAGGACTTTGTCATGCATACATCCTAATATAAATATTTTGGGAAGTAATAATAAATAACTCGATATGGAATAGCAGTTCTCCTAGAACATATTTTTTGCCCCTTATTGACTTGGGTTTTTGGTGCTTATTTTAACTGGAATACTTTATTTATTAGCTGTCCTAAATGCTCTCTTGCCTGCTTCTCACTGCAATCGGGAGGAGATAGGGTTGGAAGGGTCTCTCAAGCCTTCTTTTATATGTTTTCGCATTGAGTGCTGACGTGTCCATATAAAGAATACGTAGAAGAGTGTCGGAAGGTTTTTTATTCTGAATTTTCACCAGAGGTAGAAATACGACTGTGTTGTCTTCAGCTTACCGTTCCGGAGAGAGGCGAAGGATCCCTCTTATATATAATATACAAATATCAATTCTTGTTATATCCTATAAAATGGCCGCTGCTGTACAAGTGAATGTGGTGTAGATCCCCGCTTAGCGCCGGAATTTGTTCCAAGCGGGTGTCACGCTGTTTGAGTCGATTACAATCGGTCGATTTACTACAGTAGGAGGGTGCAATAGGACTCGGCCACTGTCGGCGGAATATGGTTTAATTTCCGGGTCAGGAGAGAGTCATACCACTCCCTCGATGATGAGTCGGTGTTCTCAGGATTAGCCGCCAGGCTTACTGAGACTGAAAAAAAAAAGGGCCCAACTGGGAATTGAACCCAGGACCTCTTCCAAGTTATTTCCCACCTTGCGGTGCGACCCAAAGGAAGAATCATGCTACTAGACCATTAGGCCCACGCTATGAAGAGCACATCTTGTCTACATCTCACGCCTGTCCATTCTGCGAATAATTGCCGTAAACCTTTGCGTTGTTCAATTTCGAGGAAATCCCGTGATTATCAGTTTGCGCCGTATAAATCACAGTGATTTCTCTGGGGAAAAAGCAATACCTTCAAGTTCTTCACACTCTTACCAAGATCAGCGGCGAAGCCGCGCGAATGTCATCAAGAAAAGTTGGAGAGACTCAGGAAAATCACAAGCCTAACCTTATGATTCATAATAATAACATACTCTTTCGATCCAACCGAATTGCTACTATTTATTATTATTAATTAATTTTATTCTTCTCATTTGGATGTACGTGCTAGGACCGGTGTAAACTCAGAAAGAAAGGCAAAGCATTCATGATTAATAATTCATAATTTGTCTATGAATAGTAATAATTAGTGTTGGATTCAGCTAAGCTCTGACCGGTCAAGGTTGGCTCGGTCACGGCTCGGTCACGGCTTCTGACCGGCTCGCAAGCTGAGCTGAAGCTGACATGTTGTGATATATCGTAGCTGAGTCTGACCGGTCACAGACCGGCTTGAAACCGGATTAAGTGCAGTGTATATATTGACTATCTATACAACTAGCTACACCAATTTACATACATTTGAGGTATAAATCAATCCTAGAAGTAATAGAGAAGCTTCGAAAGTTATATAACAAGCATCAGCAAGGGATCAATCTCAAAAAGAGGGAAGAGGGAGCGCCAGAAGGCCAGACTAAGTAACAAATCAACATGGCTGATTAACTGAAATGCTACTGTGGATACCCAATAACCTAAATTCCTTGATATAAACTTGTTAGTATCTACAATATACTCAATTATTATGCCAGAACATGTTTAAAAAGTATTTAAATTTCTATTATAGTTGAACCGGTTCCAAACCGGTCACAAGCTGAGCTGACATTTGACCGAGCTGAAGCTGCGATGGAGAGAATTTCCCAAACCGGTCCTTGACCGAGCCGAGCCGAGCCGAATCCATCACTAGTAATAACACATACTGCCAAGTGAATTCGAACGCCCTTTGGCTCAAGAATCAATTCAAATCTGAAGCATGATAAGGTTTGACGTTTCTTTTGCTTGGCATGTGCCCTGCCGTGAGCTTACGAGAGCGAACTTAAATGTGCTGCATGGATTGAGAGGTTTGCCGACTAAAGGATCAGCGCTATAACTATAACCTGAGGTATAGAGCACCTGAAACCTTGAACTGTAATTGGCGCGAGTTAACGCGTGACGTTTGTTCAATCCAGAGGTATTAAGAGTTAGGAAAAATAGAGTTGATCGATGTTGTAGGAAAAAGAGAAAATATTTTCCTTATCTTCTTCAAGTTTGAAAACTCCACAAAAGTCTACAATTACCGCTCAGTCCCCTAAGTAAATAAATTGCTTATCATTTAATTATTTATTCTTCTTTTCCTTTTGCGCGTATAATATAAACCCCCGTGATGAGGGACTTCGGTCGACCGAGCAAGATAGATCTAGAGGTACCATGCCACATGTCAATTAGCACCTGAAGCCTTGAACTGTAATATTGGCGCGTGACGTTTCCATAGTAATTCAATCAGGAGCTATCAGAACTCAGGACAAAAGGTATTGTCAATCTGTACGTAAGAAATAACGACAGACAGGATGCTCACCTCAGTCTTACGAAAGAGAAACTCCATGAGGTCTTCAGGTACGTTGAACCTAGTGACCTGAACCTGAGGATCCGACCAACGCAAAGTCAACAATTTCATCTTTCCGTGCATCGGATCCCCAGTGATGAAATAGTAAAATGAAGGCGTTGAGCTGGCAGGTGATGAATAGCGCCGCCTAACTCAAAATTCTATTTTATCGAACAATATGATAGGTCCAAAATGCCTCAGTAACACATGTAGCGCTTGAAGTGTAAAGAGCCGCGCAGCACACGCTCTATAGTGAGCAGACTAACTGTAATAAGTAACTTATATATAAACAGAACCCTATAGATGCCCTGAATCAACGAATAGGCCCGGGCATCTGGATTCCACCTCGAAAACTCAAACAATACAGTATGCTTCGGACAGCGTGTTCTAATGGTTCTCTAGAAGAAACCGAGAGATAGGTAAAGGGATTTTCGGATGTGCTTCCTTTTGGGGGCCGGGATACTTCGTTGTATTCCGCATCTTATCATTCCTCAGGATTAGGAAAACCATGTCATTCAGCGTGTCGTGCACTAACGTTTAGGACATCGAACTTCGAAAGTGTCAAGGACCGAGAATTCATTTGAAAACCTAAAATTGTTTATTACGCTACGTCTGTCCGTTTGGATATTGTTATGAAATGGTTACATATATTTTCTGCCTAATCCCATTTACAGTCATCCTCGAAGTAATGAAAAGAAATAATGATTCGGATCCTATAAAATAAATAGATATATGAGTCAAGTCTGGACAAAAACCACCCTATTCTGCGCCATCCGAGACCATCCACAGTGACCCACCTGCCTATCTCTATCCCCCACCACAACGAACTGTTAGATCAAGCCCGCGGTAATGGAGAGGCCAACAAGGCAACCAATGCCAGAATAGTAGTAAAAAACTATTCCAGACGCTGCCGTGAACCTCGAACTTAACCAGGACTGCCGTAAACAGACTCAGCTGCGCGTCGCGGATCCCACCGAGGCGGAGTAGAAATAGAGATACAGTGCGTATGAGGTTCCTGCAACGCATCCAGACACCCCCGTCTCCGTGGACCCCTGGCTAGATACAAATTCAGATGGCTCAATCTGTCCATGCATCAGGAAAGTTGGCAAATGCTACAGAGGCTATATAGCGTCCATAGAGACCATAGCCTCTGTAATTTATGTACACTATGGTAGTCTCCGTAGCTTCCATAGAACTCGTGCCATTTTGCGCTAGCATAGCTGCCACTGGTACTACAGACATCTATGCATTGAACTATAGAGCCTGTAGTCTCAGCAGTCATCACTAGCACCATATTGATTGGTAATTAATGCTTAATGAATGTAATAATTCCTATCCAAAATTCGGTGTTATTTATGGAGAAAACAATAGAGAAATATTTCATATTTAAATACATGAGGAGGTGCTAGTAACTATGGTGGTTGACAAAACCATGAGGGGTGCCATGAAGTAGAAGTCGAGGGAAATGGAAGGCAGATTTTGAAACCATCAGACAAATAATACCACATATCCTTTCAGAAACAAGGAATCTATTAGAGCAGCTTCATTAAAATTTGAGAGATATCAAGACATACCCAGTTCTGCCATTGCCGCCGAGTTCTCTTCCCCTACTTTCTGAGCCTATTGCTGTGGTCTGATACATGGTGCAATTACCATTACATCTGTATAAGATATGAATGGCAATATTAATTGGCAAGTAGGACACTCAGAGGGCGTGACTAAGATATGTACCTAAGGCCAGCCCATAAACCTCTAGATCCAGTAGGTATTGGCCCAATTCTACCTCTTCTAAGACATAACAGGGAGCAAATACTTGATAATAAATAGTTCAGGCTTTGCTGCAGATGGATCAGTTTGATGTGGACCAGCCAAGAGATAAAGGTTAGCTTAAACTCACCAACGGCGATGATACATGAATGTCTTGACTGCTGACTTCCTGGAGCAACTTCAAGTTACTTCGAGAGTTAATGGGGGAAATAAATTACTCTTACATTGTTCTGGGCGTATGAACGGGAGTGTGTACACATGGTCTGAAGGAATGAGCAGAGGATGTGGTAGTGGTACGATGCTAAGTCATGATGTGGGCCCTGGTGCTCATAATGGTTCAAACCAGCGGAGTTTCTTCAAAAGCCCATAGCCAGAGCTAGCGAAAATAGTAGAGTATTATTTCCGTGAAAGTTTGCTAGCTTGTGTAGCGCTACAGGAAAATTAGGTGCCATTGCCCGTTTTCCCGATCTAGTAGTAGAGCACAACTCTTCATGTATAAAAAGCACAGGAATAGCTACAAAAGAGACACCTACTTCTACCCTCGAAACCCATGTCCCGAGCCTCTTAGTTCTCTTTGACCAAGTGCATCTCATGAAAGGAACATCCCTCGACTTTAGAAGAAATTGACCGACCTCGGGATATCAGTGATTTCCTGAAACCTTCGACTTGAAGAAACAACAATGAACTTAGCAACCTCCTGGAGGCTGTGATTCATTATGCCGCCAAATGAATCAGATTTCTTATGTGTATTGAATGTGGAACTACTAGTACTTAACGTCAAATTGCATCCAAGTCTGTCACTGTAAGAGATCCGAGACGTATTCTGCAATAGTCAGACTAGAGACGATGTTCCAAGTATCGTCTAATACACACCTGACACCCAATATTGCTGACTGGAACTACCATAAGAAGTAAAGTGACGGGATCACTGCAGACTCCAAGCGTGGCCTACACCTCAAGAGAACGGTCGGTGGACCTAGCAAATGCATACCGAGCATAGCAAGCATAGTCACTCCTTTATTTCGTAGAAGGTCGCTAGCTACTCATAGTTCTACGTAAAATTTAGACGCCGTTGCCAGGTTTCCTGATGTGGGGCTTGCAATCGACGGAGAGAACTAAACAACATTCGATCGATGCTGTGCAGTAATGAGCATATTCTCTGCGGTACCCCTGCTACTCCTTCACCCACTGTAAACGGTTCCAAATGGCAGACATATCTTCCATCGCCAGATCATGTCATTATCCCCCCACCAATGGAACTACGAAGCGGCTAGACTCGGTGATCCGTGGATCTCCCTCCAGCGGCCCCGGATGGCGCAGAACGGGAAGAAGAGCAGACTAGACTCACCTTGTGTCTAGTAGACGACTGAGCTGCACCATGCGCGCGTGAGGTAGTACGCTGGAGTCTGATAAAACGGCCTGTAAAAAAAATGAGCCCAGTCTGACAAAACCAACGACCATTTCATCCCCTTCCTGCGCCATCCGAGTACCAGGTGACCCACCTGCTTACCTCTATTCCCGATCACAACGAGCGGT